AGCTCTTTAGCTAGCCAACACGCAGCGTACCATTATATGCCAGCTGGCCCAACTTCAGTAACCCTACAAACGTCCTTGCTGCTTAATTTTCCTTCTTCATTTTATCCAAAGTGATAGCAGAGCTGTATATTTTAGGCTTTCAGAAATCCCTCATAGTATATCATATTTAGATGGAAACTGGAAGCTAACTAAATGCTAACTTCTGTTCATGGATGCCTGGATGTTAAACTTTATTGATACACCTGGTAGAACAGCCACACTGATCATTTTATTACAAATGAAGGAATTTAGACAGTTTTAAACTCTCGATGACGGCTAATGATGTCAGATTTAAGAGGCAGATGAAAAAGATAATATGAATGTCGCCATCATGACATCATCCATTGGTGTTTGAAGCCCCGAGGATTTTTGCCATCATCATCTTTGTGTTGAAACTTGATGTGAGCATAATCTAAATGATCCTCATTTTTGAAACTTAGAATGACCAACATTTATAAAATTGACTCCTTTTTCTCAGTATGCCTCGAAATTTAATGTCTGTGGGGTTTAACGTTTGGCAGCAGCCTCAAGTGGCTATTAGAGGAACTCCAGCTTTGGGTCAGTCCCATTACAGGCTGTGCATTCATGCTGCTAATACCAAACTTTAATGCTAGAAGGTGAGCCTGTGCCCACTGCAGACTCACATTTGTTTTTTCTGTTTTTCTCTGAAGGAAGGGGGCTGAACACCTCTGAACTCTGGCATCAGCAAAGAGTGTCCATCCAAACAACTGCTGCTCATCCATCTTTCTGACCGAACTCTCGCAAACCAGCCTATCTGCTGCCAGCAGTCATGCCAGAATCATGTTAACTGAAGGAAGGTTTTATGCTGTGAAGCCCTGCCAAATGACTGGCTGACTACTGGTCCTGATAAAGTGCTTTGTGAGGGAATATTCTGTTGACAGCAAATGTGGCTCTAAAAACTGGATAGTTTGTCTTTTCAATCAAGAGTTTATTGTGGAGGAAAACAAAGAGGAACTATGAAGAGTCCCAGTAAGTGAATCACAGAGCAAAAGGTTATAAAAAGACAATGATCCTGACTCACGAGGTCTAAGATATATCTGATTTATTGCACAGAAAAATCCACCTCCGCACACTCGATGACTTGTTTTTGTCTATTTGCAGATTTTGCCATTTGTTCCACATTAAAGTTGACCTATGGGCCTCAATTGCATCTGGACTCCTGGAATAAAGTTGCTTCTCATGAGTCACAGCTTAAATTAATTCACATGAATCTTATGCTGGACCTTCGTGCTGCCCCTCAGTTCATCCTCTCCCTTCAATAAGACCTTTTAGACATGGACTGTGTTTTACCATCATCATCTTGGTGTTTGGTGACTAAGAATCTTTTGGCACTGAGTCTTTATTGACTCTAATGAGGACCTTAATTTAGGAAATGTGTTAAATAAGACGTAAACTGGTAAGAACGTGTTTATTGAGGTCATGGAGCGAAGGAGCTGGAGGTCTGATGACATACTGTATACTTCTGTAGTGTATGACTATGTCGACATCGTTTTTAAGCCTTTTCACTGTATTTTTCCTACAAGTCAGGGAGCTGCACTGAGGTGCTTGGTTTCTGGTTATGACAGAAGCATCTCTTTCGTAATGACAGTAGAGTGGAAAAGTGGAAAAAGTGACACATATTGTTAAAATTACATTTATTTGACCTCAGCTATCTTCTGCTGATGAATCATTGCATGCAAAAGTTCTCAGAAAGTACTTATTTGCACTTAAAAAAGGGGAAAATGTTATCATTTATTATTCAGCAGTTTTACAGCCTAGAGCTTCTTGGTTAAATCAGACTGCAGGTGGCCCAGGAACTATAATACGTTTGACACCCCACAACAGTATGTCCGATCCAGGAGGAGAAGCGTAGTGTTTAAAGCAGTCTAAAGCATGAAGGTCATTAGCAGTTTCTTTATTAGTGTTAGTGTGGAGTTTTATTGATAACATCTTTTTATAATTATTTCCCAGGGTCACCCAATTTCTCCTTGTCTGTCTTTGTTTCCTTGTTTCTTTGCTTTAGTTCCCTTGTTTCTTCTCAGTTATTTTGGTAACTTCCCCCTTTCTCAGTTTACTCAGTTTGCAGATTCTTGTAGATCTGTCCTTCCTCTTCTCAAGTCTTAATCTCACTCCTCTAATAAAAAAGAATCCTCAGAGAAACAGTTGACGTCCTGAAACAAAATTACTGAAACATTAACTTTTTAGACCTTCCCGTCAGCGGTTGAATGAAAAATTCGACTTATTTACTGTATATCCTCCAAAAGTATTACTTTTCATAATGAAATAGATAAATTAAATTTACTGTGTAGCATATCTTCTGCCTCGTAATATCTTTATCACTGTTTTTTATTTATCCGAAGTGTCCACAGAGCTCCACTGTTGTCCAACAGCTTGAAAACTGTGTAAAATTGTCCTTTATTACCACAGCCATACACTCCATACACCGTATGGTTGAAGGAAATAAAAGAAGCAACATATCAGCTGCTTAAAGTGCCTGTCTCTTTCTGCTTCCTCCTTTTTCTGCTGAATCAGAATTTCTTTTTTGAAGAACTGAACATTTATAAACTTTTTAGGACTTATGTCAGTCTTTCTTTAAAAATAGAAAACTTGTTGCTGTCGAGGCTGAAGGAGTCCAAAAGTACTGACACACTGAAATATAGCAACAATCTCTGGTGTTTAGAAACGTGACATCCCACTAGATGGGGCCTCATATTTAAAAATGAAAGAAGTCTGCTCTTTTCAAGTGTTGCCTTCATGCAGATGAAAACGTAGCTGATGCTTCATCTCGCTGCTGTGATGTGGCGGCAGAGGAAAGTACATTTTCTCTCCCTCTCCTGTAAAAATGTTTTCACTTTTAGGTTCCTGTGACGCAAATATTTTGCACCTTATTAGGCATGAAATTAAAATAAATTAACCTTTTTTAAAGGTTTTTGGGGCATTACCAGAAAGGCTCATAGTCAAACAACGTCGGGTTATGGGTTCAGTACAGGTTACCATGGAGATCTAACAAGGTTAGACAGCGTGTTTCACATACGTGGATACCCATTATGCTCACTTTGCAGTACCTCCCTGTGTGTTTTCTCTCCCTGAACAACTTTCCTGACAAAGACCTCTTTGATGTAACATCACACCATTTCACTTCACATTGTGCTGAAAATTTCTGATTGTCATTAACAGTTTGTTTTTTTTAAATATCAGTCTTACATTTTGCATCTTTAACTGCTACAATTTCCAGATACGGTGGGCAGTGGTTAGCACTGCTGCCTAAGAAGGTTCCTGTTTTGAGTCCTGGCTTTGGCCCTTTTTCATGTTCTTCTCATGTCTGCGTGCGTTCTCTCCACTTAACGGATGGGTAATCCTCTTACTTACTTCATATTTTTCTTGAACATAAAGGGTTTGGAAAAACTGAGCAAATCCTTGCACTTATGGAGTGGTGCATTGATAACAACTTGGAACAGAATGTCAACTAAACCAAAGAGATCATCGTTGAAATCCGAAGCCAGCATAGCTGCACACTACATGTTGTCAACAACACCACAGTGGAGGCTGTCGTACAGATAACACATATCCTGTCCTTGTCACAGCAGCATCTGCTCTTTTTGTGCTGATAGAGAAGAAATGACCTACCCTGTGCATATCTGTGATGTCGGGACGGTTAACTGGAAGTCCCTGCAGCGCGTGGTGACGACAGTGATGATCATTGGGTCTTCTCTTTCCACAGGATCTGCAGCGAATCACTAAACATGCCCCCAAACCACCAGCGCTACAAATGACTGGACTGCTCCATGTAGTCAAAACGAAGCTTTACAACAGAGAAATCTAACGTGCAATGGTTATTCTTATACTTTTATGTATATGTGCATTCATCTTCTTCTGCTTATCCAATTAAGGGTGGAGGCTGGAGCCTGTCTTAGCACGAGAGGCAGCGTACACCCTCACCAGTCTGTCACAGGGCTAACACAAAGAAACAGGCAACCATTTACACTCATATTCAAACTTACAGCCAACTGAGACTCTCCAATTAGCCCACATGTAACCTCAGTAAGTGCATGTCTGCATGACTCAAACCCAAAACCATCTTACTGTGAGGCTACAGTACGTTATATGTTATGTGTGTGTGTGTGTATATATAACCACTTTGCATATACATATAACAGTATAATACACAGAACCTTTGTTGCACTATTATGAACCAGGCAACATATTTTCATTCACATTTACACTGTCTGGCGTTGCTAGTGGCGTGTTGTGCTATTGGTGCACTTCATAACTCATGCGAAGGCTTTAAAGCTTTTCCAGGACACTCGCGCACATCCAAATGAAAACAGAAAAAAACCCTCATGATTAGGACACATTAGTAACGTCCATGTTGCAGCTGGCTTTCATATTTTTATTTCTAACACAGTGTGCTTCTGTGAAGGCCATTTCATTTTTCATTTTTTCTTTCTTTTTTGTGAACTTTAGTTGTAAAAGTGTTGCAGTGCAGAATACATATTTACAATATCCTCTGTATGAAGTGTGGGTGTTTTAAGCGAAAGCTTCAGCCTACATTGTTCCTGTCAGCAATTTGAGTTCCTCAGATTTAAGTCATTTATGCGTTTTTATCAGCATTCCTCAGTCATTTTTGAATAAACAAATATTTTAATAGCTTAAGCATTAGCTGCTGATCCAATATTCATAAACTGGAGTGCTTCTGTGAAAGCAGTGCATTTGAATGTCTTCTCCACCACCTCAGAAAAATCGCCGTTGTTTTAAATTAAAAATGCCTGATTTCATCCTGTTGATGTTATGACATTATCTTTAGTGGTCACAGCTGCAGTGTTTGTGTAATAACGTGTAATAGCGATAAGGTCATGAATGAGCTGTCTGTTGCTCAATGGGCATTTTACCATGTTTCACATCATCAGACGAGTTGTAAGCGGTGCTGTTGGCTGAGCTCTGGAGCGCCTCCAGTGTCGCTGCTGTGTCTCCGAATGGCAGCGCCGGCCCTCTTTTCACTCTGACTGAGTTTGTTTCCTGTGCAGCCGTCAGTCGCTCTGCACCATCAACAACATGGCCATACGCAGAAAAGATAGCTTCCTCTGGGGAAAAGGTATGCCTATTAATCTTTTACTTTCAATCGTTGTCATAAGCTGCCGCTTCTTTAAAACTAAAAGTGGTTTTGATGATGTTTGTGTTGACTATTTGTGTGGTTTAGTTTAGAACTCAAACTGCTTACAACTGCTGCTTTGAATATCATGCTATTTTCATATTACTTTCGATGCACAATAATGTCTTTGCCTAGGAAGGAAACTGAACTTTTTTACAATGTTATAAAAAAAATTACTTGGACTTAAATTCTGCTTTAGTGGCTGCACTGCACTCAAAGTAACCCTTCTTGTTCAAAAGAGGAAGAAAAGCAGCTATTTTAAGCATGTTGATTGACCACTTCTTTAACCTGTGAAGGGTGAAGGTGTGATATATGAATGTGTGTGAAAATGAGCGGGGGGGGGTTGGGTTGTCAAGACAGTCCACAGAGTTGCATGGCTAATTAATGCATTATCAAGTGTATTTATCCCCATCCTGAAGTGTAACTGATGCTTTCTGTCACCCAACAGCTCCAATCAAACTCCCACCAGAAGCGAGGAGGCAGGGTGAGGCGCATGAGTTTGAGCTGCTGGATGACATTCAGGTACTGCGGTGAATATTTTCCTCTAAGGTCTTTCATTAAAATGCCTCGTTATTCTGCTGTATGCACCCACTCCTAGCAGCCTCGGCAGAGTTTTTCACAGCGCACAAAAGGCCATTCATACATAACATTTAATTGAGATATGAAGGATTTGAAGGCTGCTTTATAATAGCCGACAAACTGACCATGAATCATTGAGTCTGCGAGTATCTGTGATGTAACACCAAACCTTGGTCTTTCTCTAACGTCACTGCCTTCTTTCTTGCAGAAACTCAGATTGGAGATCAATCACGTCATGCCTAAAATCCACAGCCCTGAACTGAAGGAGCAGAAGTGAGTATGAGGACAAGCATTCTTATAGCAGCTATTCTCTGAGTCAGCATGGCTTCTTCCTCTTGTTTAAGCGACACTTTGATTCAGCTTAGTCTCCTACACCACACATAATGCTCAGTCGCACAGCCACCTTTACTCAGATTTGCATTTGACCAAGTCAGAAGCAGGGGCATTTCAGTGTGATGATGCACTGCACAAGCCTGATAAACAAATCGGATTAACTGTTTTAGGTTGTTAGTGTTAGGTTTACCACCAATTAGACCAGGATGCCACTTTTCAGACCAACCATTCCCATATTTAGAATCCCAAAGCCCACTATGTAATCTGTAAATATTCTGTGGCCCAAACATTTAGTTGCATCTCTAAGTGATACTTTTGTCACATCAGGGAAACCCTTTGCTTTTAAATAAGAATATAACCACAATACAACTAGCTGGCAACCAGCTGACAACCATTAGTTTTTCAATCTCACACAAGGATTTTCCATTGGAAAACTGCTCTCAGCTCCTTTTCTCCCAGGGAATATTTTCCTGATGAGCTCATTAGTTGATAATTTCAGGTCATCTTGTATTTATTTGTGATTGATGAGTTATTCGCCAAAAAAAAGCACAGTTTCATCATCAGATTCAGCTCTTGTTTTAGCTAGCTGGTAGTTCAAGAAACCCAAAAGCTCAAATTGCGACTTCATAAAGAGATTTCGCAAACTGTTGGCTGGTGTAGCTACGTCCATCGTTTACACGATATAAAATGGTTTCATTTTTATTTTTGCTTTTTGTTGGAAATATTTAATTAGAATTTTTTTACAGTGATTAAAACAACCTTTACCGACTCATATGCAGTACCTAAACCACCCTACAGGGGGCTGTGGTCCACACATTGGGACTCACTAATAATACTGGACCAAAATGAACGTGTATATGCCTTTAACATCACAAACGGAGAGGTATTTTATAACCTATATGCTGGTGGTGGCCTTGAGCAGTCAGGAGGGGCAGGGGCCCTCTGTTTAATTTGCTTGTCAAGCCTTTTCACTTGACACTTGCAATCACTTTCTCCATAAATTGTTCCACAAAGAGCAATTTTTACTGCTTTCCTTTTAAAACAAATCCACACAGTTTAATTCAGGTACTTCGCATCTGTGCTACCCTTTATTTTAACCTTTTACCCATTATTTTGCTAAATGTTTCAAAAGTTTTTAGTCATCTTTGGAGGCTGGTAATTAGAGACAATGTGTTTTGGAGGAGACACTGTGATCCGGCACGAACTGAAGCACCAGCTGTAATGAAACAAAGTTAATGAGCACGCTTACAGTCACAGAAATTTGGAGAGAAAAATGTCTTTTGACACTATGGGGAGTCCTTATTTGGAGTTTCTGCTTTTTGCTGTTGCACTTATGAGGCGATAATAGTCTAGTGTGACACTACATTTACACATAGCTGCATTACTGGCATCGCAACCTCAGTTTCTGAGTACTGCTGCACGCACGCCACAAAAACACCGACCACTTATCACAAAGCGCTCGTTATCGGAAAGTAGTTTGGAGTGTGATAAATGAATTCACAGAAAAAATGATTTATTTTAACTTGAACATTGATCAGTAACAAAGTTAACTTTTCATTGTCTTTTATACCAATATATGTATTATTTATGTTTAGTAAATCAAAAACTGCTGAAGTAAAGGAAACCAAACATCTGCTCCTCATATTCAACACGAAAAAAAAAAGGCAAACACAGCCCTCAGTTCAAAATAAACAACAAAATGAGCTACAAAACTTTATGATTTATAACATTACAACATTTTTTGTCTTCTGTTGCAGTAAAAATGTTGCGAGGAACAGGAAATTCCTACGTGGGAAAAAGAAATTTAACATGGACTCCAAAAAAGTGAGTTGATATCATATTTGTGTGTACACATTTTCATACATTAAGGAAAGATTTTTAATTTAATCTACAAAGTAAGACAATCCTTTGTAAGACTTTTTTAAAAACTCCATATCTTCCAGTGACAGTGACAGGAGCAAACAAAGAAGCTAGGTGTTGCTATAGATGGATTTCTGTAGTCGCCTGTAGTTTATATGGGAGATACCAGTCTGAAGCACGCACTAACTACTCACTGAGCAGAAATAAAACTTGAAAAAGTGTGACATGAGTGCGACATGAGCTGAAAATAAACATCTGTGAACATTTAATTAGCAATCCACTAGTCAGACCAAACCAGTTGCAAGGAGGTTTTCACCAACTAACCCTTAACATCACATGGTCAGTGGTCACATGACTGCAAAAAACATCAGAGCAAGAAAGTCTGTTTAGGTGGAGGTCCAGACAGATGGATGGGTCAACCAAACATCAGTATATGCTATATTTCTGTTTTAAGTCATCCTCAGTGTTTCTTTTACAAACTAAATTGTAGTAAAAGGGTGTCAGTGCTGTTTCTGTTAAAGTAGCCTCAGATATTGATGTCACTTTTATCATGATGTCATGTAAGAATTATAATGAAGGTCCTGCAACTGTAACCAAGTAGTTATTTTAACCTTTGACTCCAATAACTTTACATTAAAACGCCTAATTTATGTCTTAAAATAAAGACAAGTACCAAGGGTATATGAAGGGGAAGCTATCCAAACGGACAAACAATAATTTTTCTTGAAAAGGTCAGTATTTTAACACGAGAGTCTGTGGGGACTGATTTGAAGCCACCTTCAAGTGGCCATTAGAGGAACTAAAGGCACATCTTGGGCTTCATGTACAGGTTTGTCTTTGTGCCTAAGCCTTGACTAGGTTTGTTAACATAATAGTTTCTATTTTTCAGCATTTTTAAACTTTAATTTTTAGCAGCATATCAGTGCCTCATCCAGTAACCCAACCATTGTGGGTGGCACAAGCATTATCCAGTAGGATAAGGGGAGGAGCCAACACCTGTAGGGTCACTGTTCATGAGCTGTATACCTGTAGATTATACATAAATGGTGCTATTTCTTAGTGCATACTTTTATATTTACTTCTGACATGCACAGTGTTGTTTATTTCAAGAGATTAAAGGAAACTTTGTTAGTCACAGTAAAAGTTTTAATTCTACTTTCACTCACTTCAACATCTCTGTATCAGAAGGTCAACAGCAACACGGTAACAGATATCTCCACACGCAGCGGATGTCGAGTTGAGAGATGTGTATGTGATGCTCAGAAGTGCAACCAGTGCACAGGCACAGACGCACAACATGAGCAAAAGCGAGAAAAACCACATCCTGTTCCCTGAAGTGGGGCAGAGACGCCACTTCACCACTGCGACCTCCATCTTTTTCTTTTTCTTTTTTTTTGCTTCCTTCCTTTCTGGGTCTTCAGCTCAGAGCTGAGTGTCTGCAGGCCTGAGTGCAGAGCGGGCTCAGGCCTGCAGACAAGTGGGTGGATAACACGCTTATAGTCTTCTTGGGGTTAAGGGTGCTAAGTGGAATTGATTTGGTTAGCAGGAGTATGCACTCAGAATTAAGAGTCATATTTTGAAGAACTGTCTCTAAGTACCTTTTTGAGATGCAGCAATAACAACATGCGGTATTCATTCAACCCTTCACATCTTGTGTGCTGGTGCTTGGTGGTGACCGTGACTTAAAAGGAGAAGAGGAAAACTTTTTTAAAGTGTGATACGACTAGGTTAGAATTAGCAGCACTGACAAGAAGAACTAAAAGCCGTGGCCAAAACTTAACACGAAGCTTCCTGTCGCTTAATTTGCCTTCTCGATGAAAACACACCACAGACATTTAATTCACTGATTAAAAATTTGTCCTCCTAGTTTTCAAATTCATTTCTTACATGTCTGACTTTCCATTTCCCCCCTTGCTTCAGGGTGTCCAGTACCTGGTTGAAAATGGCCTTCTCGAATGGCGGGCAGAGTCTGTGGCAGAGTTTCTTTACAAAGAGGAGGGGCTCAATAAGACCGCCATAGGAAACTTCTTGGGAGAAAGGTGGAGTATTAGTATAAGTTTCCCTGCTCCTTCTTTAAAGTTGTGAGATTTAACTAAAAAAAACATTAACGTGTGTGCTGAACTTACTAAGCAATTTAATGAGAAACTGCAGCAGGTTACTTTAGACCAATTTATGTAGGTACGTTAAAAAGCCACCAAGATTCACTTTTCACCAGTTTTCCACCCACATACATGATTGGTTTCAGTTTGCACACTAAACATAAAACCATATATCCACCTCTCACAATGGAGTGTTTTTTTGTTTGGGTTTTTTTGTGGGCTGTAGTGTTAGGGGGTTGGAGGGTATCATTGGGGGGGGGAGCTGTTTTGAAAGCACCATTTGATGGTTTCAATGTTCCATTAAATATTTTCCAGTGATGTGTGAAAACATTTGTTTGCCCAAAATTTGACATTTTTGTATTGTAGTGCACTCTGTAGACAGACAACCTTTTTCCAAAGGTTGGAACCATTTGTCAAAAACTCCTCTTTAAGATTTTACATAACACGAGATGGTCCTTTGCATATCTTAAAATGAAATAAATACAACCTCAGATGAACAACAGCATGAGACACATTGCACAGTGTCATTGTTTATTTAACAAATACTGAACCAAAATGCAGAAGCAACGTCTGAAAAACTGAAAAAGTGCACAGCATGATTCAGTATTTTGTAAAACCAATTGTTTATCAGATCGCTTTCTGTATGTCACATCAGCGTGAGAGAAACGCAGCCCACTCTTCTTTACACAGTTGTTTCAATTCATTGAAATTCGCAGCATTCGTTTACGCAAAGCTCCTTTAAAGTCTCACCACAGCATTTCAGCCAGGTTGAGCTGTGGGCTTTTGCTGGGCCATTGCGACACCTTGATTCTTTTGTTTTTCAGCCATTCTGTCCTGATTTGCTGCTGTGTTTGGTATCATTGTCCTGTTGACCCAGTTTGGGACGAAGCTTAGACGAGGGACTAATAATAGAATAATTTGGTTTACAGAGGATACATTTAAAGACTGCAAGGTCCCCAAATCATCACCCCTCCTCTACTGTGCCGACAGTTGTTATTAGGTGTTTGTGCTAATATGCTAATAATGTGCATTATTCGGTCATGTCTTGTGGTTTATTCCAATCCAACTTTGCAAATCTAAATGACGCTGCCACGTCCTTTTTACAGAGAAGATGCTTTTTCCAGGCACCCCTTCCAAACAAGCCATACTTGTCATGAACTTTAACCTTTAACCTACCTTTTTGTATTTCTTTGATCATTGTACCTGACCTTACAAGATGTTCCCTGATAGGAGGATTGTAGCATTGTAGGAACACAAACCTGAATGCTCCAGACTAGCATACTGCTTTTATAGTTTATTATCAGCTTATCGAGTGTAATTCATTAGAAATGCCTGGAAAAGGTGTACTTAGTTTGAAAATGTTCTTATTCACATGACTTCGTGACTTTCATGTATGTTGTGAAACCAGTGTGCTCTGACGGTAAATGTGTATTCTATATTTGAGCCTCATTTTGAGGGTTGTGGTTTTCATTATTCAATTATCTTTCATTGTTTTGGTTGTCACACAGGGAGGAAATGCACCTGAAGATACTGAAAGCGTTTGTTGGTCTGCATGAGTTCTCAGACCTGAATCTGGTGCAAGCACTGAGGTTTGTGAAAGGAAGCTTGGAGTGTTGCAGCAGTTTTACCTTTAGTCTTGCTTTCGTCCTTATTATGAAACCCTCCTCCTTCTTACCAGCCCGTGTGTGTTGTTTTTCTTTTTCTTCCACCTTTGCAGGCAGTTTCTGTGGAGCTTTCGTCTCCCAGGAGAAGCTCAAAAGATTGACAGGATGATGGAGGCGTTTGCAGCTCGCTACTGTGGCTGTAACCCCGGGGTCTTCCAATCCACAGGTACAAGCACAAAGAGGCTGATTCATTTTCCCACACACTCCAATTAAAACACACATTTTTGCTTCTGTAATTACAAAATTCTATACAAGACTCATCACCTGCTAAGAAAAATCTGCTTTTCTTTTTGAAAAATAAACCCAAAGCCAGAGAAACATCTCAGGCCTCCCTGATTAGAGTTAACAGATTATCCAATAAAACTTTTTTTGGCCTAAGCAGCTGTCAGCTGCGTACACTCAAGAAGGTGATGAAGAAAGCTAAACTGTGGTTTTCTGTTACAGACACCTGCTACATCCTCTCTTTCGCCATCATCATGCTCAACACAAGTCTCCACAACCCCAACGTGAAAGACAAACCCACTCTGCAGCGATTTGTTTCCATGAACAGAGGCATCAACAACGGCGAGGACCTGCCCACTGAGCTGCTCACGGTCAGCTGGCTTCATTATTTCATGGCTTTGTCAGGCCCTGCTTGTACAGTCAGGTGATAGAAAAACCAAGGCGCTGACTGGTGACAGCATTATAGTTTACTCTAATATCCTTTAAATGTATTGCAGAAGTACTGCAATGCTCCTTGGTCAGGGTGGTTAACTGACTGCAGGGCATTTCTTTCATCTCCTTACGTAGCTTACCCTTACTTCTTTAGTGACACCAATAATCTCTGATGGGTTTCCCCAGTAGTACATCATTCTTGCGCAGTGAAATGCAGTTATACCTTAAATCACCCTTCGTGTTACAGTGTTACCTCAGGGTAAAGTTATGTTATTTTCAGCACTGACTGGAAGCAAGTTTGAACAGAAAATGTAATAGTTGCCTAAAAGTGGCTAGGCAGTAGATAATTTGAAAGTAAAGTAATGACGCAAATTAATGGTTGATATATTGGTTAAAGAGACATACTAACTGTTTGTTAAAAGAAAAGATAGCACTTGAAATAGCTAGCTAAAATTAATAATATACTTCAGAAATCATTTAAAATTAACAGCAGCAATTTGTTTGCTAATTTTGTGTATACTAAGAAGAAACCACACTCAATTAACATACTTTAAATTATGACCAGTTGAATTGCTAAAAGTATAAATAAACTACATTTATGACAGAATAGCAGATAAAAACTTGGAACAGTTATTAGCAGTGTTATTTAGTTAATAACATGATTAAGTATCACCATCAGTTTAACTAATGTGCTAATTTAATATTAGTTTTGGAAAAACAGCTAAAGTTAAGCTAACACTGGATTTGTTCAAGCATACTGTAATATTTAAGCAGTTAAAATGCTTGGCTAATAACATGACTAAATAAAATTAGCGACAAAAATATGGCTAGTAGTTAAATGTTAGCTAACAGTTGAAGTCATTAGCTAACAGAGCAAAGCTGCTAGCTAAACGTTGCAGATTACTGGTTGAAATTAGTCACTTCAAGGTCAAGGTTCTTTATTTGTCACATGCATAGTTATACAAGTATAACACAC